GTGTGGTGTGCTGTGTGATGTGGCCGCACGGCTGTTGATTTGTGTGTGTGTGTGTGCTCGTGTGTGTGTGTTCAATCAACATGGTCCATGCGCCATCTTTTACGTCCACACCATGTTCATTATACACCCACACAGCGTTACATATAAAAATCGCACACAACATTAAACGTACAAACTGCGCACACAACGCCAAACTGTTAAGCTGGGTTTACACTGACAGTGTTGAGTTGCCGAATTTGCTTACGAATTGTACGAACTTTGGCAATTTGCCAACTCGCACGTAGTCGTCAGTGTAAAATTGCTCTGCACCAGTTCATAGAACGGTTGATAGCGCGATGGTAAGTTCGTACAACTTCGGCCAATTCGGCAACTCAAAATCGTCGCAGTGTAACCCCAGCTTACAACATACGAATGCGCCAACACACAGCCTACACACAACGTTACACATACAAATCGCACACACACAACATTAATACTGTCAAGCGTGTATAATAATAGATAGATTATAATAGCTATAATGGCTAGACTATAATTATAATAAGAAACTACATAATAGATATAGATCTATTATTATACACTCCTGATACTGTTACATATACCGTAAAAATGATAACATGTCCATATGCCAATGCGTTCCATCAATGGTTAATGAAAGTCCGGCTAATTGTCGTAGGCAAAAACAAATTTTCAGAAGATATAATAATCATTATGATAGTTGCTATTTGTAGTACAGGAGCTAAGAGCCATAAATCAGATGAATTGTGCACTTTTTTGACAAAAGAATAAAAATTGGCACGCAGGTAGTTTAATATATATACATTCATATGCGATCGTACACCATCACCATGCATCGACCTATCTAGACCCAATCTTGAATTTCTAAAATGGCTGCTATTAAAAAGCCATGACTTCATATTTCTCGCTATATTCAACTTCGGTAGTTGTGAACGTTGTCATTAGCCACCGTACTAATATTGGTCTAGTGGGATGGGGAGAACGAGGGGATCCTATTCAGATAAATAAATCAGATTAATTGTGCACTTTTTGACAAAAGCTTAAAAATTGGCACGCAGGTAGTTTAAGATATATACAATCATAATATGAGATCGGGTACCCATCTCCATGCATTGACCTATCTGGCCCCAATCTTGAATTTCAAAATGGCCGCTATAAAAAGCATTTATCATTCATATTTCTGCTAATAGTCAACGTAGTGTGACGTTGTCATTGCCACCGTATATATGTCTAGTGGGATGGGGAGAACGGGGGGATCCTATTCACAGTGTCCCGAGTAAAGGTATATGTCTTTCCCAGTAACCAGTTCAAAATTTTCTGGTTAAATTACGAATACGTTTCGAAATTACGACATAATTATTCCTTGGCGGCCGGTTTTCCCAATAAGCGTTATTGAATCGTGATTTACAATCACTAATCCATTGATTTAACTTCTCGCGTACTTAAATTGAAGTGACTATTGTCCGAGCGTCAATTAACTTTAATCATGATTAGTTAATCACAATATTTATCTACTCAGCGAGCATTGATAAATCCACTAGGGCCTATCCGATAATTATTGCCTAGTACTAGAAGTAGTATGTAGGTAGTTACTAGTGAATTAAGTACTCGCTTGGAGATTTTTACTAATTGCGAAATCTTTACTTCAATTTTCTTTACAAGGAAATTTTAAATCTGATCTAAGATTTGCTGTACTACTTTCAGTCATTGATAATTACAAATTAACTTCCTTTCATGTACCGAACCTTCTCAGATATTCTTTGGCGGATATGAATCTGCCCATATTGACATACAGTTTAATTTGTTTCTCAGACTGGTATCTCGGCTCCCACTTCGTCATTACTCGATTCCCATCGAGTAAACTATGCCGGAGAGGGGCAGCGCGAGCTACCAGTCTATTCACTGTTGAAGTCGCGCATAATTTATGTGATTAGTTAAATTATTGTACTTAACTATCGCTTCGTGAACAGAATTTTAGTAGATTATTAACTAATCATAATTACGAGAAGTTAAGTATGATTAGTGATTTAATCATACTTAAGTTAAGTACGCTTCGTGAAACCGGCCCTTGGTATTTTCCGATTCCTTAATAACAGTTACTAAGATCGTACAATCCCCAAAATAGCTATTCCTTCTTTATTAGTGTTTCCCTCGATATGAATAATCCACACAATGGGATACAATGCGATATATGATACATAGATACATATATGATATATACTGAGGCGAACGGCAACGCATCATGACGCAGCGAACTTTGGCACGTGCAGCCTTGCTACTATTTATCGATGAGTCCCAGACAGATATACACGACAAATAGCAAGACAAGACAAGAGTAATAGACAAATATACACGCACACGCGAACACATTCGTACAGCTTTCCCGCGCATCACAATCATCATCATCATTATCATTATCATCATCACCGTCCTCCTCATCATCAACATTATCATCCTCAACATCACCACCACCATCATCATCATCATCATCGTCGTCGTCATCGTTATCGTCATTTTCGTCGTCACCGTCGCCGCGCACGCACCGTGAACACGGCGTTCTCGCTCCAGTAGACGTGCGTGTAGCAGCGCGTGAACGCCTGGTCGATGTACGTCGCGTAGTCGACGTATCCCAACTCCATGAGGCGACAGTAGCCGTCCTCGTGCGGCGGGGCGGGCAGACGCATGCCTGTAGGCTGCACACTTGGTGGATGCACATCTGACGGATGCACATGTGGTGGATTCACATCTGTAAAATGCACACCTGGAGGCTGCACACCTGGTGAATGCACACCTGACGGCTGCACACCTTGTACTGTCGCTGCCCTACATACCTGGAACAAATTAAAATGAGAACGGCTTCACACTCGCGACCGCTTTTTCGTTTCAAATAGAACCACGATATAACTAAATCCTTACGTTGAGAAAGCACTATAGCTGCTACATTATACTATTATTATTATTGTTATTATTATTATTATTATGGTTATTGTGTGTAAGCTGTACTTAACTGTCGTCATCGTCGCCGTCGGCATCGTCAACATCATCAATGACGTTGCCACAGCGGATAGACGCGTGTTCGATATAGTGTATCACTTAGAGTTAAACTTATACTAGTAAACAAGTTAATTATTATATATACATATATACATATATACACATATATACATATATA